ATATGTATATATTTACTGGGTGTTTTCATGTGCAATGTCAATATATTTACTGTAGAGCGTAAATCTAGTAACATACCACCACCATCTCCTCTTCATCCTCCTCCACCTCCCCGTCTGCCACGCTGTCAGAGACGGCCCTCCTTCTGAGGAGCAGCGCTGACACGGGAACATCCTGTTGGACAGACGAGGTCTCTGGAGAAGACTCTGCGTCCTCCACCCTCTGCAGAGGGGAGCGTGTCCTTCCAGAGACGAGCGGTCGGCAGGCGACGAGCGGTCGGCAGGCGACGACTGACGCTTCACCTTCAGAGTCAAACCGCTGACTTGTAGGATACGAGACAGGTGTGTACTCACGTGTCCTTGGTCTCTCCACAGCAGACTTCACTGTAGGGCAGAAGCAAGACGACCTGATGGAGGCGTCTTCCTCCAAACTGCGGCGTCTCCGGTGAGAGATGCAGTACAGAGGACTGAAGGAGAAGGACGGGGGGGGTTCACTGGAGGCCTGAGCAGCACAGTTGAGGTGTAAACTGTTGAAGTCCGTCCTCCGCTCTCTGCTCTGACAGCCGTCCGTCAGCACAGCGGTCTGTTCCTTCTCGGACGTCCTCCTCCTCCTCGGCTGCACGATGAGGACGCAGTGTTTGTGGTCCCGGTCCACGCGGCTCTTGCTGAGGTGGACGGCGGCGTCTCGACCGCAGGGACACTCGCTGTGGTTGATGAAGTTGAAGCCGCCTAAACGGGCGCAGCAGTTCTGACAGTACAGCTTCCCTACGGTCCACTGGGCCTGGACAGTAAAACCAATGATGTCTCAAAATCAATTGGTTTGTATAAAGTGCAAGGTTGGAACTAACGATCAATTTTCTTCTTCTTTTAACTGTTGATAATGGCATCAAACTTTACAAACCCAAAAACATTTATTTAAAAATTATATGAAACTATAAAAAATCATATCCTCACATTTGAGAAGTTTAAAAAAATGAACTATCCAGTATTTTGATAAACAACTTGAGACATATTGATTTTTCAAACAATTTCAATTAATTTCCTGAAGATCCACATCTACATAAAGTGTTGCATAAACACTCAAATATAAAGATATGCGTTCTTATTAGATCATCCAAAATGTCTGATACAGTGTACAACTGCAAACCAAAAGACACATATCAAAGAGAAACTTAGTTTGACTTTAGTAAAAAGAGAAATTGGAATCTTAATGACAGCGACTGAATGAGAATAAATAACCCCCCCCCCCTCTTCTAACCTCCCTTCCCCTCACGACATCATTTAACCCCGAATGATTGCAGCTCACTTTATGACGGACAGAGACACTCACCTGGTGAACTGAGGTCAGGATCCACTTTGGCAGCGCGTCAACGTCCACGTGCCAAATAGTGCACCCTGCCTCTGAGCTGTCCTCTGTGGCCTCCGCCTGCTGCCACATTACGGACACACAATCAGCGAGATCATCCCCTCACACACACTGATAGCACGCCATGTTTTTTATGACTGAAACACAAGCTGTTATCTCTGACTTTCCCAAACCCGATGCCCCCCCGACAGCTTTAGACGACTGCTATGACTAACGTAAAATGTCATTATGAGTTCAAAAGGTGAGATTAAAGTTAAAAATGGTTATCACTAATTAGAAATGTGGAATGATATATATAAGAGAAGAGCAGTAAGTCCTCATATTTAAGAAGCTAGATAGTAGGGCTGCACAATTTGGAAATAAATAACTATTTGAGATTATATTTACCTATATTGGAATTGGATATGTTTTGCGATATTGGAGGGATTATCATTTTTTAAACACGTTCACAATTTCACTTAAAAATATATTAATATGATCAAAGTGTGATTTTTTAAGAGGATCTCTACCAAATACATTTTATTAAGTTGAATATTGCGATTTTAATATAATGTTGATCAATTGTGTACATAACATGTATCAGTTATGAGACAGGGAATCGAAGTCTGTGTTAAGGAAAATAACACATTAGTACTAATTTTGTTAGCATTATTTGTCATGTTGGGTTCTCAATGCTTTTTAAGTGCAACAATTGCCACAGATATTGTTTTTTTCTATTCTAAACTGGACTGTAATATAACCTTATTGGTCATATATAAATACTGAACAATAAGTCATACATTCTTGATTGTAAAATGTGTTAAACAACTGAAAAAGATTCCCTTTGTTGTGAAAGGAAACATTACCAATCAACATATTGTTTCATGAGCTATAACTATTCAACAATTCCTTGAATGCAAGCTCTGTAGCAGCTTACCTAGCCGTGGAGTAGAGACAATGCATGAGTAGCACTTGAAATGTTTTGGCTCTATGAAACCTGATGTACTTATATGATTCTGTTTTCTTCTAGTTTGTATCTTCTTGGTCGAATGCACTTGTAAGTCGCTTTGGAAAAAAGCGTCAGCTAAATGTAATGTAATGTAATGCATGCGAAAACATCTCAAATCAAGTTGCTTAACACATAAGAAACGCATAAGATGCACAACATGTGTACCAACCGTTGACAAACAGGTGGAGTCCACGACACATTTCCGACACCTCCTGCAGCGGAGCATGGTCCTCTCTCTTTGGGACATCTGAGGTCACGGTCCAGCTGTTGATGATGGAGATACTGAACACACAGCGGCACTGACACGCACTTTCTTTAGGTTTATGTCAGAGTGAGTTATAATGAATTTGTCATTTTTCATTTATAGCCATTCAGTTCTATTTAATAGGAATATTTCCAGAAATGCTGACACACCATGTATCAGGTTTTATAGATTTGGTCTTGCATGTGACTCGCATACACGACTTAGTAATAGTATAATAACAATGTCATTTAGTGTTATAGCACCTTTTCAACTGAGTTACAAAGTGCCTTCACATAAAAATATTTAAAACACACTCAAATATACCAAAAAACCCGCAACTAAAACAAATAAAAAGTATAAAACATGAAGACAATATGTTCTAAAAAGTGATTTAATAGACTGGATGTAGTTTGTAGCCCTGATCCAAGACAAACAAAGTAAAACATGTTTAAAAAGACGTGTTGCTTATCAAACCCAAGGCTAGACAGCTATTTAAAAATAGGTGCTATGAGACAGGTATGAGACAAGTCAGTGCAGCGAGACAGTTATTTAGCTATGAGGTAACCTGATGCTACACACTGTGCACCATGTTTACCAGCATATACCATTACATTAATAATGATGTGGTTATTATTAGAGTGAACTCCTTTAGGATTCAAAGAGGAACACATCCTGTTGTATGCATCGGCTCAAACCCTGGACTTAGTTATAATATAATACACATATAGAGTAGGCTACTTTGCTGTAAAGCCTGTTGAAACTCCATTATTAAGCTACGAGCCTAGTCATGGTGTTTATTTAGTGCAAGGGATTTCCGTCAGTGTTAGAACTACATCAACTAAGCTACAGTCTTAAATATGTTTGCATGTAAGCTAAACTACATAGCCCTCAGTGTAAGAATTAAATTCAATGTGTTGCTAACTTAGCTCCACAACAACATGTTTTCACCAAGACATAACATTCTTAAGATAATGACAATCAGCATGTGAGTATATTTAATAAACATACTCGCCTTGCTGACAACTGGGGATTCTTTTAGGACCTTGTAACGAAGAAAACCTGTTAAGAAACAATAAAAGTTGAGCAGCCTTTTCGCTTTAAGTAAGGCTGTGACGTCATGAGAACTGGGACGCTACGGAAAGTCTAACAGATCAAAAATAGGATATCCGTTTTGTTTTTATGAGTTTATTGACTTGTTCGTTTATTTATAAAGACAACATTAATCATTTTGAACCTATTTGTTTGATATTTAAATCAAAAAACATTATCATATGCACACGGACGTCTTGGGTGGTTAAAAAACAATACATTATTCCAATAATATGTGTACACTCATGATCCACATACATTTTCTTTTCGCATTCAGTTTATTTTATTAAGAGGCTGTGCTTTCTTCAGCTTGGGAAAGCCAGAATGATGTTGAACACATTTAGACACTTTCATTAGGCTATATTTATAACATTTTACAGAAATGACTTCTATTGAATGTGTACAATACATGTGTTGTTTACTGCACACTGGTTTGACATAGTGTTCAATGTATTTGTAAATCTGCATCCTTCAACAACAAAAAAAAAGGTTAGTTTCACTTGAAATAATAAAGGATGACCATCATACAGTCTATGATCACCATTTAGTAATTTTAATGAAAGTGGACCAACGCCAGGGGGCAGTGCCAACGCCAGGGGGCAGTGTCCCACCTGGCGGACATAGAGCGCTGACCGTGGTGCTGGTAAAACAAAAACAACTTCACTACTTTGTAAAAAAGGTAAATGTGAGAATAAACAATATACTTACTGCGAACAAGGTAAATGATAAATCATTATATTTTCTTTTTAATTGTTGTTCTCTTAATAACAAACACAGTTGTGCATTGCACATAGGAAATTCCAAAAACCCAAATAATAATAATGTATTATAATTGTTGTATTATTATTATTATCATTACTGTTGATTGTTGCTGTCGTTCTTTTTCTTTTGTATGAGTATTATAACTATAGATAAACGGCGCAAAACAGATCAGTTCACCAACACCATTAAAATGAGACTCAAAGTTACATTTTACATAAAAAGGAAATATTTCAAAGCTTATTTTTTCACCGAAATCGCAAAATCCACAACAAATATACTTTAAAAAAGTTGCAGCATGAATCAGAATACCTATAGTCCCACAGAGGGGACATTTGGAAGAAGAGGAACACACATATGTAGCCTACTATTACATGAAAAATATTGTGGTTCTGTAATGTATTTTTTAATAATTCCCGCATCTCCTCTGCCTCAGCTGCAGACTAAACAGACCCAAACCTCCAAACTGTGCTCCATCCTTACAGAAACATGACGCATTTTCCATCACTGGTATAAATACGCAGCATCATTCTCCGTGAGCAGCCGACACTCACAGTTCAGACTCTCTCTGCTGCGCGAGGCAGTCCCACAGTCCACTATGCGCTCTTCAAGGTGCCACGGTGTGATGCGGACCGGGCTCTCCATCAAGTAACAGCAAGCTCTCCAAACCCAACCAACGATGGAGGGCGCGAACAACACGACCGCCTGGCCTGAGTTTGACAACTCTTCCAGCAACAAAACCCTCACACCTGAAGACGAGGAGGTGAAGCTGAGTTATCAAATAGTCGCATCCCTTGTGCTCGTGGCGCTCATCCTGTGCGCAATATTTGGGAACGCGTGCGTCGTTGCAGCCATCGCCTTGGAGCGGTCTCTCCAGAATGTTGCCAATTACCTGATCGGTTCTCTGGCTGTCACAGACCTGATGGTGTCGGTGCTGGTGCTGCCCATGGCGGCGCTTTACCAGGTGCTAAACAGGTGGACACTCGGGCAGATCCCGTGCGACATCTTCATCTCTCTGGATGTTTTGTGCTGCACCTCGTCCATCCTCCACCTGTGCGCCATCGCCTTGGACAGATACTGGGCGATAACGGAGCCCATAGAGTACATGAAGAAGAGGACACCGAGGAGAGCCGCGGTCCTCATCAGCGTCACCTGGCTAGTGGGATTCTCCATCTCTGTGCCACCGATGTTAATCATGCGCTCCCAGTCCAGCAGCATGGCAGAGGACAGGGCGAACCCAAAGCAGTGTAAGATCAGGCAAGACCCCTGGTACACAATATACTCAACTTTCGGGGCTTTTTACATCCCGCTGATACTCATGTTGGTTCTTTATGGGCGGATTTTCAAAGCAGCCAGGTTTCGCATCAGGAGGACTGTGCGTAAAACGGAGAAAAAGAAAGTTGCCAACTCGTGTTTGGCGCTATCCCCAGCCTTGTTTCACAAAAAGAGTCCAGGGGACGTGCATGGCAAAAGCTGGAAACGGAGCGTGGAGCCCCGGCCACTGCTTAGTGTTAACGGTGCGGTGAAGCACGCGGAGGACGGAGAGTCTCTGGAGATCATCGAAGTTCACAGCAACTCCAAAGGCAACCTGCCGCTGCCCAACACCCCCAGCTCCGTGCCGCTGTTCGAGAACAGGCACGAGAAGGCGACAGAGGCGAAGAGGAAGATCGCGATGGCACGGGAGCGAAAAACGGTGAAGACTCTGGGCATCATCATGGGCACCTTCATCCTCTGCTGGCTGCCCTTCTTCATCGTAGCCCTGGTCATGCCATTTTGCCAGGAGTCGTGCTACATGCCCCGCTGGCTGGAGGATGTCATTAACTGGCTCGGCTACTCCAACTCTTTGCTCAACCCCATAATTTACGCATACTTCAACAAAGACTTCCAGAGCGCTTTCAAGAAAATTATCAAGTGTCATTTTTGCAGACCGTGATGGACATCCAGATGACAGCCCTAAAAAACCAACAGCCTATAAGAAAGTGGGACAAGGAGATTGTGATAATGTGGCTAAAACTAAAACGAGGGCTCATAATAATAATAATGATTATGTCGATCATCTCCATCGTTTTCAGTACGGGAATATTCCCAGAGATGTCTGTAGCCTATGCATAGATAAAGCTGTGATCGTTTAAGCTCCATGTTCCTCATCCTGTTCTGTAATATTCAATAAAGAATTACTTTTTCACATATTTTTTCGGAAGTCGTGATTTTTTAAATGACTTTGTACAAATGTTTTGAAAATTTGAAATCTTTGAAATCTTGCAAATTATATGGTTTCTAAAATAAGTGACACAAAAATGGTTAAAAAGGAAACATTATTCAGCAAAAATATTAACAGATCAAATGTTTGATAGTCGATTCATTATTTAAGTCATTTAGGAATAGACATGTCAACTCTTTGCTGCTTTTCTTGTTTTTTTATAACAGTTCATTTAGGATTTGGCACTGATAGTCAGTCGAGACATCTGTTGACTCACTTTGCCCCCTTGGAAATTGTGAATTTGGTACATTATACAGCCAAATCACAATTTAAATAGTTAAAAACATACTGTGTAAATAATTAAAAACAATTCCACATACTTGATTATGGTCTACGTGTCAATTCCAGTCCTGTAATGCTTCCTGAACTCCTCAACTAAAAGATATTCAAATAAAACACTATTTTGTCGACTAATCGATTACTGTAGATTTAATCAACAGATCCGTAAAAGTGAGTTTCTCTGCAAAGATCTTTAACCAATTAGACAACTAATCGACTACTCCAATAATTAGAATTGAAGGAGCCAAAAAAGCAGCACTTATCAGGTGGACTTACATTCATTCACAGCATTTAGCTAAAGCTTTGACACAATTCCATATATATTCTCATTTAAAGACTGAAATGGTGTTTAACAACAGCACTGAAATGAAACAACACCCACACTGTCGTCTCTGTGTGATTTATTCTTTAGGATTTGTATTCTTTTCGTGCAGATAATCGTCACCTGAATGAAACTCATGGGTGTGCATGAAAATCAGGACATTAAACATAATTGCCTGTACTGCATTTTTCTCAAGCAAGGCACAGAATACGCAATTTTCCAGAGGAAGCTGAAAAGACAGTGTGGGATGTCACTTCCAGATAGGGATTTTTTTTCATCGTCTTTGATGAAAACATTTCTCTCCATGTTAACTTCATAAAGCTTCAAGAAATATCTGGGTAAAACAATAAAAATACAATTTATGTGCGGTAGACAGCAGAACAAATATGGTTTTAATTACCGTGGTTAATATTTGTGAATCTAAATTAATCACAGGGGGACGTACAGTAAGTTCTTGTCTTAAAATCCTGAGAGAATTTGATCTTGCTGTAACAGAACATGTCTCACCCTCCTCAAAGTGTCTTCAAACAGCACCACGAGCCCCCACAACGTCCCCCTCCGAGCCCCACCAGCACTCTGATCCTCTCATGCGGGTGGATCTGCTTTATCTTATGAAACAAAGGCAATCTTTATTACAGTGGAGAAAAAAATAGCATTTCATCATTCCAGGGGGTGACGCCAACAGAGTGTCAGAGTGGCAAAGAGACAGAAAAAAAAACCACATTCATAGAGCGGTGATAGAAAGGTGGCTGATGAAGGGGTCGGGGGGTGCTTGTAGTGCCTTTTTGCTCACAGCTTCATAACATATAAGTCCATCTTAAGGAGGCAGTGAATGGGGCACACAGATGGATGCTGTTGTCATAGCGACATATGGTGGATGCAAACTCTGAAGGGGCCGAAGGGGCAATTACCTGATCAAAGGCCCGAGGAGACAGAGGTGTGTGTGAGGGGCCCGCAGCTGGCCCACAATACGCAGGTGTGGATTTTGTTCTTTACACAGAACAGGATACAGTAAAGTGTGCCCGAGCTCGGCCTCTCTTAATGTACCTTTTTTTTAAGTTGTTCTTTTTTTTTTAATCGAGTAAAATACCCTTTATTAATCCCCAAAGGAAATTAATTATACACATTAGGTCTGAAAACACATTTGTACAAACACATGCGTTTTTTTAATGCACATATTTTATATCATTCTATTTCAATGTAAATACTGCGTTATTTAATTTGTACTATATGTTTTCTTATTTTTAATTTTTTTTTATTATAGTGTTCTTAAAATAGTTCAGTATCTGTGTTTAATTTTTTTTTAACTTTTATGTATGCACCACGACACCAAGTCAAATTCCTCGTGCATGTCAACCTACCTGGTAATAAACCCGTTTCTGATTTTGATTTATTGTAATTGAGGTTTTCGGGCACCAGCAGAGCAGTTTCTTGCTCAAGGACACCCCAGCAGTCAGATGAACTGGTACATCTCTAGCTTTAACACAGTGTATTTCTTTGGTATACGATCTGGACTTGAACCAATGTCCCGTCAGTTGCAATGCCAAATCCATACAGACACGCATATGACACCTTCTGTCCTTAAACCCTGCAGCGTACAGGGGAAAAACTCTCAAAGAAACTCCTCAATACACAGGGAAACCTTGTGGAGTAGCAACAGGTACAGCCAATGTGCTGGTTCTAATAACTTAAATGAGAATTATTTAAAACCCAATACCCTATAGTTAAACTCATATTGGTGGACCTTTATCTACAGTTCTGTCATAAAAAGTATGCAAACATGGAGCTGGTTCCACAGAAGAAACAACCCCAAAAAGGTTATTATAATAACCTCCCATAGTACGATACGATACAATATACTTTATTGTCCCCGTAAGGACATTTGTTCTGGACTCCGTCCTGCAGTTCCGCATACATGTACATATACAAACATAGTGGACATTAAGAGACATACACATATCATCAGTCATACACCGTTTGAACAAAAACAATACACAGATGCACATGCTGACAATGGCGACCTATTGCACTACCCTCATGGCCAACATTTAAAAAGTAAATTTCATTACATTTGACTACATTTCATTTCATGTGAATGTTAAGTAGCTTAATGGACATAGGTAGGAATGAGTGCTTATAGGGTTCAGCCTGCTCTTGGGAACCCTAAATCTTCTACCAGAAGGTAGGAGCTGGAATTCTGGGTGGAGTATGTGGGTGGGATCAGACACAATTTAGTTTGCCTGTCTGATAATGGACTGCTCGTATATGTTTTGGAGAGATGGGTGTTTTTTAACCCCCATAATTTTCATAGCAGTCTGTACCAGGCGAGCGATCTGTGACTTTGACTGCACTGTCAAGTTACCATACCAGGCAGTAATACCATACCTAATGATGTTCTCCAACACTGCATGATAGAACAGTAACATGAACTTCTGGTGGACTCCGAAAGCCCGGAGTCGACGCAGAAAGTACAATCGCTGTTGAAGTCTAGAGCACAGACCTTGAACATGCGCCTTCCAGCTGAGTGTATTATCTAGATGGACACCAAGGTACTTATAGGAGCTGACCTGATTTATGGGTTCATTGTGGATAACCACCGGCCTAAGGTCACCCACTGCCTTTGGGTCCCACACCATCTCCTCAGTCTTCTCTTCATCTCCCACAGTATCATACATTCTGTCTTTGTTCTGGCCCTTCTTTCAAACTATACGATATATTGAGTTAAATATCAACCTCGTAAACTCCCCCAGGACACTTGCGCTCTCGGCGGACATTAGTGTCTTTCAGAGGATATATCAGGCTGAGTTTTAAATCTAGACTTAAAGTAATGTTATCATTCGGAGCTGGACCAGAGGACTTCAAAGACGAGTCTCTTCAGGGGGCAAAAACAGTTTGAGGGTAGGCTCAGTGAATGGAAGCGGGACAATTATAGCATTAGATATCAAAAGTAATACACATTGAATAGACTTCTGTAGTTTGGAGGGATTTTATTGTCGTTCCCACTTTCCCAAGGTCACAAACTTATAAATGCCTTAGGACAATCATTTGTCTTACAGTAGGTGTTTGGAGCAGTCTGAATGTATGGCAAATACATGTTTTACATTATTTTTGTTGACGACTAGTGCAGTGCCTGTACCATGCTGCGGCATTGTGGTGTGTTTGAATATTTTATTATACTAAATAGGATTTTTTTTAAAGGGGATAAAGGACTGCCACCACCACTTGGGACATAGATACAAAAAGACAAGAAGCCAAGAAGAGGATCGTTAACTGAGGGGCAGAGTTTCAAAATAAAGTCATTTTTATTTAAATGCAATCAAAAGATAAAGGAAACCCAGGAAATGTTGCTGCATGATATAAATCGCTGGTTAGAAAAAAGAAAAAAAACTAGTTTAACATTTTTTTTTTTTTAAACCATCTTTACCAGCCTCGCAGATGGGGGTGCTGCCTAAACGCTAAATGTGATAATGTCGAATACATGTATTATTTGATGGTTTAGCCTTTCTCAGGCTACAACATGGTTAAGTTTACGAATATTATTAAGGAATACAAATCCCTCTTTGCAATGTTTACCAGCCTTCTTAGGCTTTTCAATCATTAAACTGGAATAAATACAATATTGTTAACATGAAAATATGATTTGTTCGTTGTTTAGAGTTATTCTAAGGCTTTACTCATTGGGAACTTGGTATGAGATAGAGCAGTGGTTCTCAAATGGTCAGGCCTCGGGACCCACTTTTTCCTTTGTCAATAAATTGCAACCCGAAATTTTGAACCACTCAAATCTATTCAACAAAAAAATGGTGCTGTAATACGCTTTTCAGCATACAATATTGATTAAAGTGAAGTAGCATAGAGTGCATAATATCCCTTCACAGATTTTATGAAATACTAACAAACTACGCATTCTGGTACTCTCTGAGAAGAAAATAAATAAATCTATTACTACCCGACATATTTATAATATGTTATGCCATTGTTTGTTTTCCACTTAGTTCTGACAGCGGAACTTTCTGCTCCTCACAGAGAGAAGAGTAACGGAGAGAGTCTGTGTGAATTACTTTAAATTGTGGGTATGTAGATAGCCCCCATTGTTCTGTGACCTGTCAATCATCAAACCGGGGGTCGTATTTCATTATGTGTTCATTTTTATCTG